ACTTTTTAGGATACCTACATCTTATTATGTAAAAGGTTTGTTATGTCGGCAATAAAACCTTATTTTAATTTTAAACGCACCCACGACCCTATGCTCGGCCCTAGATTAGAGGAATTAAAAAAAATAAAATAAAAGTCTGTATACGAGTTGGTTATAAAGTACCTAACCATTTTAAACTACTTCGGGTAAGACGATAAAGGTCGTTAAACCAGACAGTTAAACCAACAATTTTACACGAATCAGTTTAAACTTAGCAATAATTAAGTTTCCTGCCAAAGAGTAAATACTGACAGGTTCTTAATAAAGAAAGATACTTACTTAAAAAGCCCTGTCGTCCCGGCTAGACTTCTTTTAAAAGTAACCAAAAAAAGAAGTCTTGTACCTATTTAATTAAAAATTAACAGAATATTCAGCTGAATAGCGTACAGCCTAATACGACTAATTCAGTAAAAATTAAAAAGTAATTAAAATTTGTTTTATTATTTAAACAACCTGAGGGTATGCTTGGAAACTCAATCTTCTACATCTGTTTGTCAGCAAGCAAAAACAATTGGGTACTTGTCAACTATCTAAACCTTAATTTTCTGTTCTATGATTTAGACAATTTTTTTTTATTGTGGTAATTGTCAGTACCTACTTATTTTAAAAAGAAAATAAAAATATAGTCTTTTAGGAATTTTGTACAAGATTGTTTTCAGTGGCGACATGTTCTATTTTTGCATCAAACAAAAATAAAAATAACGTACTTATTTCTCGAAAGAAGGAAGAAAGAAAAATACGATTATTATTAATATTGTAAAGACTGATAATATAATGTAATATTGTAAAGACAACAATATTGTAATGAATGATTATTTTTTTAACATTTTATTGTAAGTACTTAGGTACTATAATATCGATAAACATTTTTTTTGACCAATTAAAAAACTTACTCAATTCAATTGTACTTATAATAATATAGTATGTAAACTATAGATAGGTACCTATGGCACGAAATATTAAGTTGTTTTCAATAAACGGTAATTATTTTGTCCAATACCTACAGGGGCTGCCATCTTCCCGGATTTGTCCTAGTTTGGAAGTCGTCCGGGAAGCGTCCGGGCGGGGTTTAAATTATAGTTACTCCAAGTCCAACCCTGATATATGTGTACCTATTTATACATATAGGCGAAACTAAGAACCTCCCTACTTCTACTCAGTGTAACTACAAGTATTACTTCTCTGACCGCTGCATCTAAAACGGCTAAGTTGGTCTAGATCATACATACATACATACACACATACAGGTCAAACTGAGAGCGTCCTCCTTTTTTTAGTCGTTTCATAATTGGAATTTCCATTAATGCTCCAACATCCGTGGAACTTACACATCCAGTCCTAAACGGCACGTTTTAGTGGTGGCAGCTATTTTTTTTTCTATCTGAGAAAAATGCCTTACGCATACATACACCGCCCAGGGAGACGGTGAGGCTTGCACCCACTAAATAACTCAGCTTTCGTGCCGTCTTCTGCGTTTTGAGAGAAGCCACGAGGACCAAAAACGACTTCTGTGACAAAGAGTTGCCAGCCCTGCTCATACAACTTAACTCTGCCTTCTGTGTCAACTGAAAGAAGTTTGGAGTTTCGCCTCAAATCCGGGGGCTGGTAAACTATACCTATGTTTTTTTTGGATCCCAAATATAGTATAAAATATGGATTTCATGTGATTTATAATATTACTTAGTCTAGTAGTTTCGGAGACAATTATTATTCCAATCAAAACAAATAGTAGATACCTACCTACATTAAAATCGTTATTTTCCTTAGGTACTAAGATTAAGTACCTTATAAGTTATAGTATACAAATACTATTATAATACGCGTAATCTAATAATAAAGTCTGTAGCTTAATATGACATGTACCTATAACTGTTAAATACATCTAAGAAATGGAACATTGTGATTCAGTATCTATCTTCCCAATATCCGACCAAAACGATGACGTCATCGCTCCATAAAATTACATTCCTACACAGAAACTAGAAGAAATAATAAGAGTAATGTGTCACGTAGCATTTGAATTAGTCAGCCAAAGCAAATACAACAATATTTGAAGAGATAAGTGTCGATAATCGAGACATTTTATTTCGGCACAGTCAGGTGACTGGGTCGATCGAATCACGTACCACATTATTTTACCGACGATTTTGCCGTAAATTGTCTCTAGTGATGTGATGTGTATCGATAGTGTTCAAGAAAAAAAACTGGGTATTTAATTACGCAACCCTTTTTAATAAGATTGTCCAATTTAATAAGATATGTGTCCAATTTAATTATAAATACCTATATCTTAAAATAGAAATACATTTAAGAAACTTTTGATTAATTTAATAAGAACATTTTATATTCTACCGTCCACTTCAACCATAAAAAAGTGGTTGTTTGATAGAATATCTCTGCCTGCACCTTCAGGGAACCACAGACAAGAGTCACACTGTTATCATATCATTATCATTTATTGTTTAATTCAATAGATTAGTCAACCAAGTGCTTACTGTTATTATAGTATATACCTATAGTAATTACTTATATTTTATTTGTGTAGGTATTATTTATTTAATTACCGACTACATCATTTTGAGCAATTGGCTTTCCTAATTGCAAGCAATCGATGCCGCTTAGGTATGACACACCTGCAACACTAGAGGATATGTTTTTGTGATGCCGTGGTATCACTTCGGTTGAGACAATTTTTTTTTTTTTGTGAGGGGAAAATCATCAAAAGACTTCACCCGCCCAGGGCCGGGCGAGAGGGAGTGTCAGACTCTTACTGACTAAAAACCCCCCTGTTCCTTCTCCTGCTCTGGGCCGAGGTCGCGGTCCCTCATTGCACTTACCCCGCAACCCCGGCTGAACATCAGGGCTATAGGGCCCCGTCTGTCTGTGTCCGTCTGTCTGTGTCGAAGAATGCAGTCTCATTCTTCGCCTAAAATTAATATATACCTAGGTAGATACTTGTCCTAGAAATTATTAGATAACTTCTAAATACGCTTCATTTTAACATGGCCTAATTTATTTCATTTAAGTATAATGACACGGACTGACTATGAAGACAAAATAAGTATAAAAATGATACAACATAAAAAAATTAAGAATTAATTAATACCGTGTCGATAAAACTAACCATTATATAAGGCAATCTCTCCCCTACTAATACAATGCTTATAAAATATGGTCACGATCCAACTAATAAAAATATGGATACCTAAACCTCCCCTTACCTTACCCTTATAGATATGTATTATTTTAGTTACACTTTTCCTCGAAACAAATTCGGTTAACTTTATTAGGTACTAGCTATTCTCGCGCGGTTTCACCCGCAGCTCAGCTCCATTTGATCGTAGCGTGATTTTTTATAGCACTCAGGAACATTGTAGCTATCTATCATTTTTTATTTTTTATTTATTAAGTAGTATAGTTATAGTATATATATCAGTGAAAGATTTTTGACAATTCGACCAGCGGTTCTAAAGATTACCTACATACAAACTTACAAACATACAAACTTATAAATTAGTATAGGTAGATAACTTTAAGTAGGTAAGTAGGTATGTTTTGTCCTTACCCGACTTAAGCTCTATAAATAAGGATCCACAAATACGTTCTAATGAAATGTCTACTGACTAATTTAAGTCTAAGTAATTAGAGCATTGCATATTTTGAAAATCCTCATAAAAATCTCGTCTTTTGAAAACGGCTTCCAGGTTGAAAACATCTGATGTCCTGGATGGGTACGATATTGCGGAGAACATAGCTCCCGCGCTTATGGCCTGCCATACCAGGCTAATTTAAGTTGCACAGAGGAGGGATGCAAATCTCCACCGTCATTCGGATCAAGAACGTGTGTAGATATAGGTACATTTACAACGTATACGTTTACAAATTGGATACCAACTTCTAACACACCCTAAAACTGGGTACTATTAAACTAGGTTACAGGGTCTTGTTCAAGTCCACTGATTCCAGTCCCATTTAGAAGGGTCGAAAAAGCAATTATGCCATCTTCGTAAAAGAATACGAAATCACCTGGCAACTAATAAGTTACATTTACAGTTCCTACAGAGGAGACCCACATTCGAGATCCTTTAGATCATGTAGCAACCTTTAGCTGAGCATCCGTTTTTATTCGACCTTCTTCTTTGATACATCTTTTACCATTAAGGGTACACGCGCACCACGAGCTTGAACTGTTTCATTCTCACGCAATCACAGATGTATAAAGCAGTAGCAGACCAAATGTTACTTTCTAGATACAATACATATAGTATATAGATATGTGTCATTCTCTATCCGTATTTTAACAAGAATAACAAGTAACAACCTAGTAACGAGGTACCATTTGTTACACATTGTCAATAAAAGGAAGTCTGTTTACTGTGCTATTACTCATCATATTGTTATGCTTTTGACTTACAACCACACTGTAGTGTTAAAAACATTCCTAGTAGTATACCAATATCTGTATGCACCTCTGTAGATTTAAAAATAATAAACAAAAACGGGTGAAGTATATTGTGTATCGGTATAACAGTGATAGTGATAGCATATGTAGCGTTCTTTATTATACTAGTAGCGACCTTAATCCAGAATTACCTTAAACCAAAATCCAGCCTTGTTTTTTTTCAATGTGTGTATTGAGTTAACAACATTTAGCTTTAAATGTCTGGTTTAATGCTTTATATGAGTCTGTCTGGCTCTTTGCTTTCACGGAACGTTAACTTACATGGAACGAAAGGAGCTGTGCGCCATCTCCCACGCCGGTACTTGAGTATGGGTCAGTATATTTTTAACGTTTTATTTAAAAGGCTAATATTCAAAGTAAGAGCTGACTTAAATAATAAACTAAAAATATTGTTTATGATTTTCAATGTCGCACATCCGAACAAGTGTAACAACTCTACGCAAAAATATTTTTTGTTTATGGTACAAATGTGAGATTCTCATTGGATGTACGCCGGCTGGTTAAAAATGGCGCGCGTAGTGTTTAGTCTATGGTGATCGTTTTGTCACATCCTGTTATGTGTAGGGAGAGTGCATGGCCTCGACGTTGATCCCGTTCTAAGATATTTTTCCTTCGTTGCTGCTGTTTAGAAAATATAGACGGTGTTAAATTTCGTGATGGTGTTCTTTAAAAGGCCATGGATTTGATGAAAACGGTAAGAAAGCTTTATTTGCAGTACATTTACATAAACATTTGTTTGGCTTTTGTTTCTTGTTTTGGTGATATTGAAACTGGCCATTACATTAGAAAAAATATCTCTTTCCAGACTTTGTATGCACGTGGGAGGTAAGTGCCATTAGTTTTTGATCAATAAATAGTGCCCAGTTTCGGATTTACGCATTAAGAATCACCAATATGTTGATTTGTCAATACTCTGATGGCACCCGGCAACTGAGCGTTGTTACGCCATTTTATAGTCCTCCAAATGTTCCGCATATTTTGCAGCTTTGCGTTAGTACATGAGAAAATTAAACGCTGAAAATCATGCTTTATTCAAAATGAATTCCAAAGGAAGTCAGTGCGACATTTATTGGTTCCGTAATAGGTATGTCATTATCACTTTTGCATTTCATTTCATGACTTTTAAAACCACATGTGCTATGGATTTGTTATTGTTTAGTCGGTGCGGAAGCTATTGCATATTATATTATTTGCATGCTAGATAAACTGTTTAGTGTTCACTTATTATTAAATTATAATTTGACGTGATAAGCTTCTGTACATTCAATGACCGAAATCCCCAAACGTAATATAACCTATAAATTTGACAAGCTACAGTGAAGTCCAACGTTCAAACGGGTTGTCATTTCTGTACACTTCGCGACGAAACTCAAGGTTACTTTTCCGTGTAAAATATCTGTTAGTAATTCACGATGATGAAATGAGTTTCTACAGAATGAAATTGTTGACTTCATTCTGTAATCCAGGTAAAAATAAATTGTTGTAATGCTTTACTTGTTGTGATCTACCACTGACAGTTGGGGCTACTGCTACTAATTAGTCAAGTAAAACCAATTAGTCTCAGGAACCTGTAATTGCCTGTGCAGTCATATAAGACTGTTTTGTGTTAAATTCACTACTAGACCATATTATCATAGGTTTTTTTGTTATGTAACCTCTGTAGGACCAATCACTGACTTTTTCATGCACTTAATGTAATGAAATATTGTACTTTCAGGTTGTTTGGTTATCATTACCCAGAAGTGTTTATAAATCAGTTAGTAGAATTTTGCAAAGAAATTAATAGAATTCTAATATTAAAATGATGTAATTATATACATTGTTTTTTGCATTTCAATAGTCAACTACCATAAATCTATTATAACATTTAGTGATGAAATGACATTCTTTTTTAATTTATTTATCAAACACATTATTTTATTATTTTGCATGAGAATGTACAGTTTTTTATTTCTTATGTAGCAACAACTTCACAGATTGATTTTTTTTTTCAGTCTTTTGTTTATGTGAATATGTTTGACAACTTTTGTTATAACAAGAAAATATCTAATAAATATGTATTTTAAATGCAAATCTTGTATAAAATGTGTATGTAACTCATGATTCTTCTTATCAGTATACCAAAATAAAAAAAAATGAATTGATGAGTCATATTTGGATGATAAACAATTTTTTTTTTATTTAAAAGGCCTGTTGTAGTCATGATTACTTCACTATATCAAACTATGGTATTTGTTAATGATGATTTTTATATTTTGTAGAAATAGAAATTAGTTCTAAACATGCATATAAGTAATTAAGTACCTAATACATGTAAATAATGGTCAATTATCATGTGTAGAATTTAAAATCTATGTAGTATACATTGGCAATCAGCCAGTTTAATATTAATTGATATTACATCTACACTATAAAAATGTGAAACTGAAAAACTGATAAATTGTTTGTTCTTCTTATAGATAACTTTAGAACAAGCAAATACCTTCACTTGAAGCATTGACTTACATACACTATTTACATATTTGATTGTTGACTTTTAAAAGTTCCTTATTGTGGTAATTGACATAAATGATTTGACTTTGAAAACTAAAATAGAAAGGTGAAATTGAGACATGATTGATTATGCTTCTTTAGTTTTTGCTATGTCATGCTATTAGAAGCAACTCAAATTGATAGATAGATTAAAGAAATAAACAAAGTATTGTGCAATGAATGTCATCATCATTAAAATTTATTTCTAAATTAAGTGGTTATTGCATGTTTTGTTGGAATTTACGAATAAGCACCAAGATTTTTAATTAAGTAATTTGTCATGATTTAAGTAATAAAATTTCAAGCATGAAGATTTTTTCTGTAGAAGGAACACACTCCCCATTCATTATTCTCGCACATATAAAAGATTATTTAAATACTATGCAATTGCCTCCAAGGACTCAATTATATCCAACAAATCTTTTATTAAGGGGGTTAATTTTTCTAAATAACAGAATTGTAATGCATATTAATGTTTTATGGTAACGGGACCAATACTCTTCTTTAAATCATATTTGCTGCTACATTGTAGTTTCGGCTTATATTCTAGCAAAATAACTTTGTATTTTAATAAGTTACAGCATTCAGTTATCATTTCCTCAGTTCAGTATTTTGATGGGTTAGGTACTGCATTTATATATATGGTACTTCCTTGTAGTCCATCTAACTTTCCTTCCCTAATTCTCATCACAGTTTTGGGAATAGCCATTCCCACACAACTTATTTCTGAAGGTAGTTTAATATTATTTCTACTGCTGGTATATATAGTACAGCACAGTAGTAGGATATCTTTTGGAGTTGATTGACATACCAAAGAGATGTTTCTTTATATTTGGATTACTGTAGATAGTTTTTCTTTAAATAGTATGTAACATTACTATTCCAATAGATAATTTTAATCAGAAATAAAAGAATTATGTCATGTCACATAGTATGTTTATTGAATCAGCTTAATACATTTAAATCTTGATATCAGATCAGTGCAACTGCTGAATATCACATTAATATCGTGACTCGGTATTACTAGTCTGACAGTAGCCATTGTTGATTAAGTGGATAATGGATGTAAGAGCTCAGATGTAGGGTCAAATTGCATTGAAGTGATTTGTATTTCTGAAAGTGATCAATATAGAGGATTAAGTAAGTTCAATATATAATAAATTTATTGTAATATCGTAAAAAGAATTTGAAGATAATGTCATTGGGAATCAATCTTTACTTGGATCATTTAAATGTGTTCATTGCCAAATTGTTTTCAATGGTTAGATAAAAGTTGCCTGGGGAATAATTATGATGCTGTCGCGTCAGAATGTTTGTATAAGACAGGACAGCAACATTTTTATTCATCAAGATAACATTTATCTTACTATTGAAAAATCAGCCCTTAACATTTTTATGAATTGTGAATTTATTGTTTTCCAAATAAATCATCTTGGTTCTTTTTGAAGTTACTATTTATTACTAGATAATTAATTTCACGTAATTTGGGTGGATGATTTAAAAAAAATATTCACCTGCTTTTTAGATGAGACAGTGGCCAGACATGGACTTGAAAGAAAAATCATAAGCTGAACTAGAACTCTCATGTGATAGAATAGGTGGTCTATCATTAGTTTCAGAATATTTTAGTCATTACCTAATGACTAAGTATTTACATGAAAAGGTTAGCGAGAATTTTGGAATTTGTCAATTTCATAGATGATTATTTTAATGAGTGGTTTTGGCAGACTAGATTGACTAAAAATTGCCACTAAGCACTGACCTGTATACTTGTTGACTCTTGTACGCTTAAATATTCATATTACAAAAAACTTTTGACGTAAGATATAGGAAATTTTCTGTTATATTTAATGTTTTTGTTAAAAAGCACCTGAAACTGGAAAATGCAAAACATGTTTTTTAGGCGCCATTGTACAACATAACGGGAGAGCGATATAAACGTGCTTGTGTGATGTTAAATTTGGAAACGGCACATAAAAAATTATCAAACATTTTCAACACTTCCGGATAATATTCCAGGTATCTTCCATTTTTTGCCGGATCACCGCCCTAGGAAGGATCTGGTAGCAAAGCGCTCGCGTGCGTCTTCAGTTTGCGCGCTGCAAATTAGTGCGTTGCGGAATGCGCTCCGGAGTGATCTCATGGCAGAGTGGAAACTACTTCTGTCGCAACCGAGGGCCGGGCACGCTGTTATAGCAGCGGTAAGACCCCTCTTTGAGGAGTGACTAGAGACGCCAGGCTTCCTCACTTCCGCCTAGTGCAACCGAACACAGCAGCCTTAGTCGTGGTCATGGTGCAGAGCAAGTGAAACTGGGAATCCGTCTCCTTTTTCTGCGAAGCAGTGATGCTCGTAAAAAAGGAGCCGGGGCGCGTGAGGGAACTGTCACCCTCACGCCCCAGCCGCCGCAGTAGGCGACTTTTCGGGCGTCGGGGATCGAGCGATCATCTCCGGCCACCGTAAGCACAGGGCGCTTCGTCCTGCTAGGGCTGAACACCACCAGGGAAGCGAGCGGCGGCGTCAACCACTTGCATTTGACCTTGGTTCTAGGTAATGGTGCAGAGCGAGAAGTGGGAAGCCGTCTCCTTTTGCAAAGCAGTCATGCTATCTAATGCGGTCCGCGCACGACTCAAATTGCCTATAGATCACTACAGACGGGCCCTACTAGGGCCGATGTTCAGCCGGGGTTGCGGGGCAAGCGCAATAAACTACACGTCACACCCTGTCGCCTCAACCTGAGCGAGCGAAGAATTTGATGATTACTTCCCTCAAAAAATAAATGCGCAATGATGTACCGCGGCCCCATTCAGACAAGAAGGAATGGGGTGGTTCTTAATGAGTAAGAGTGTGATGTTCCTTCTCGTATTAACCTGGGGATAGAGAAATCATACGGTTTTCTACCCCCAAAAAAGGAATCCCTCATTTTTTCGACCAAATGACTATTTTAGTACCTAAGAAAAAAATCATTCACATAAATAGTTAATACACATGTAATGAGTGATATACCTACGTTGTTGTAGTTTGGTGTATGAATGTGTATACAATGTATGTAATATGTCATCTTTAAAGTTCACCTAAATGCGACACTAATTTTAGACTTGGATCTGGAAAACAATTTGTTCGCATTCTGCAAATGGCAGTCCTATTTTGTTAGAAACCTAATGGTGACATGGCGACCACAAACAAGTTCTTCAACAAGGCCTTTTGTTTAACATGGAAAGTGAACTGTCTTTTAATTTGTAGTTGTTAGTTGTGTATCTAAATCAGTGTTATGAAAAAATGTTTATGACAAGAAATCAAAGTTCTGAATTAATATCTATGGCATGTTTCAGGACTATGAGTTCCTAGACTTATCTGATGTGAAGGACGCGGAATTGAACAGACTGCAGTGCGCCCTGTACGACCGGATACCCGACATCTCGGCGACTGCTCTCGCCGGTGGTTGGAACGAACCTACTATAGGTAAATATCACACGAAAGTGTTCATCTTCACTAGTCGTCGGTAGCTTAGATCGGTCGAAGTGATTTATTTAGTTAGTAAAATAAAGAGGACTTTGATGGCAGCAGATCCGTCTTCCTGTTCGTCGAGCACGGCGGGCGCCCCGACCGTGTCGAGCAGCGTGGACAGCCTGTCGGGCGGCGAGTGCGACATGGCGCCCCACTCGCCGGCGCGCGCCGCCCCGCCGCACCACGCGCCGCCCCCCTACGCGCAGCCGCCGCCTGCCTACCCGCCGCCGCACCACCACCAGTGGCCCGTGGCGCCGCCCAACGTCTACGTCAGCCAAGTCACCGCCAACGTCAACGTGCACGGCTACATGGGCCAGTACTACCAGCCGCAGCCGCAGTACCCGCCGGCCCCCGAGCGCGCCGCCCGCGCCCCGCGCCGCGACCGCCGTGGCAAGCGCCCGCCGTCCCCGCCCCCGCAGCCTCCGCCTTACTACCTGCAGTATCCGCAATACTACCCCGCCGCGCAGGCCCAGGGCGCACCGCTCTACCATCTACCCGTGTATCAACCCCTCGTCTATGGACCCTATGCGTACCCACCCTATTACCCTGAATATCCCATGCCCGTCGAGGGTGAAGCTGACAAGGGTCCCGAGGAATACCCCCAGGAGGTTGTGATGGAGCAGGAGGCTGTAGACGCTTACTACGCGAGCGCCCACTACGCAGCGCCCCCATATGGTCCGCCAGTAGAGGGCGGTGTGGAGTACATGCCACCGATGTACCTCCCTCCCCCTCCCCATCCGCCACCCGTACCTATGCAGCAGCAACAACAACCGCCTCCTCAGACCACCCCACATCAGTTTAACGTACACGCTAAAAATTTCGTGCAAGGTCAAAATCAAAACAAAAATTATACACAACAAGACAAGAATCAAGAACAGAAGCCTATGCCTGCACCACCGACAGCATCAGCGACAGCTGCTTCAGTAGAATCCCTACCTTTAAAAGACCTTAAAATAAGCAAAGGTCCTGGCAGTCCTAAACAAACAGATCGTGCTAACGACCCTGGTCAAGCAAAGCTGTCCCCAGTCGAAAAAGTTACGACAGCGCCAAAGACTGAAACCACGAAGTCGTGGAATGCTACGGAATCGAAACCAGAACAGCCAATTGCAGCACAATCACCAGCAAACAAATCTTTCCCTCCATCAGCACCACCATCCAATCCAATGCCTACGAATAAGATCCAACCTGCTGTTCCTAAGCCAACTAAAGGCCCCGCGGCTCCATTCTCGGGAGGTAAGCAGCCTGCTAAACCTGTGGTGCCCCAGACAGTAGTGCCGGTACAACAAGCTGCATCCACTCCAAAAGCACCTTTCGGTAGCCGACAAAAACGTGATGGACCTGCTAACCGTTCTCCGTCTAACGACAACAATGAAAGTTCTGATAGGAATGCGCCCACTAGCGATCACGCGAAACGTGAACCTCCACTACCGCCCAGTAAAGCGCCAATGCCGATCTCTATTACGCTGCATTCCGCTGGTCCGCCACTGATCGTTAGCAACAAGGCACCATTCGGTCACTCGCGCAAAGGCGGAGCCGCGCCCGAGCCCCCTCCGGCGCCTCAGCCGCCGCCTCCAGCGCCCACCGCGTCCGACTTCCCCCCTCCCCCCACGCCGCGCAACCAGCCGGCGCCGCCGCCCGCGCTGCCCCCGCAGCCGCAGCCGGCGCCCGGCAAGTCGTGGGCCAGCCTCTTCTCCAACAAACCCAGCGGCGCGCCAGCACCTGCGCCTGCCTCCCTGCCGGCAACTGAGGAACCTCCCAGCCCTACTACGGCTGCGCCTCCCATAGCTACGAATGTTCAAAAGCCGGTAGCAAAGGTGCCGCCATTCGACGCGTCGCCATTGCAGGCCACGGCTACTGACAAGAGTTCTCCGACGCCGCGGCCTGCCGCCCCACCTGCAGTGTCGTACTCAGAGAAGACCTCAGTAAACGCGACAGCTGGCACAGCGCGCGCGGCCGCAGCCCCCGAGCCCCGGGAGCAGCGCGAACCTCGAGAGTCCCGTGAGGCCCGAGAGCAGCGTGAGGTCCCTGTTCCTAAGGAACCGAGCCCTACTCAGCCACAGCAACCTTCACCCTTCAGTGACGACCCTAACTCTTACAGGATGGGAGGTAAGTTAATTGCGCTGCATTACACATTTTCCTTTGTAGTTTTCTAATCAGTCATCCCTAAATAAAATATTTGTAGGTTATACACCCTTCATTTTGTTTTCCAATGAGGTGTCTATAGGTTGTAGTGTTAATAGAGAATTCTATTTAAAGGATTTCTTCTTTTATTTTTTCCAGAATTTCTATCTAAATACCAACTGGATAACCGGCCAGTATCGCTGTTACCTCGTGGGCTCACCAACCGTTCCAACTACTGCTATGTGAATGCGATCCTCCAAGCGCTTATTGCCTGCCCGCCATTCTACAACATGCTGAAAGCACTGCCATACCAGACTCGCCGCGGCAAATCCAGCACACCTGTCATTGACTCCTTGTAAGTATGATCATTGTATTATATTTTATGACAGACATAGTATTTTCAGCTTAAATTGAACCTTGATATGTTTTTGCTTTGTAGAGTGGAGTTGTGTTACGAGTTCAGTCCACTGGCGCCGGGCAGTACGCGTGGTGGACGAGGCGCAGGTTCAGGTGGAGCCCCCGCAGTACCAGCCGGGCCTCCGCTGGAGGGCGGCGCGGGACAACGAGTGTTACGGGCGCTGCGCCCCTTCCCCGGCTCACAGGAGGGCAGGCAAGAAGATGCCGAAGAATTTCTGGGCTGCCTGCTTAATTCGCTCAATGACGAAATGCTGGAGGTATGGTATTGTCACAGTTATCACACATATTATCTATAAATCAAATCATTAAATAATCTTTATGGATCAGAGAGTTAAGTCCCTAAGATTGGAAAAGGGGGATCCTCCGATCAGGCAAGGTGATCAGCCTGGCGGGCTACAGCCCGATAGTTGTACGTCGAGATTTTCTATCGGTGTTGGACTTGTGCCATCTTGAACATTATCGTTCCTTAATAAAGTGATGTTTAATCATAAACATCACTATTACGATTTTCGCCGTGTTCCTATTTATTGTTATATCTTTGAAAGTACTTACTTTTATGTAGATTTTATGTACTCGGTGTTCATATTTGTTGTATAAGTTATGTTTACATGAATAAATGAAAATACTTATGAGATGTACGCATTTGCAGCTGATTAAGCTAGTCGAACCGGAAGAACCTCGCGCTCCCGGCGCCAGCCCCGCGGGCGGTGCGGGCGGCGCGGGCGGCGAGGGCGCGGGGTCGGCGGACGACGACGAGTGGAAGGTGATGGGCCCGCGCAACCGCGGCGCCGTGGAGCGGCGCTGGGCGGCGCGGCGCACGCCCGTGGCCGACATCTTCCGCGGCCGGACCCGCCTCCGCCTGCATCGCGCCGCGCACCACGACGTCACCGATGCCGTGCAACCATTCTTCACACTCCAACTCGACATCGAGGTATGACGCCGCACTTCTCTTTCGTTTATGTACCACGAACATTATTCGTTTCCTTACTGTGATGGAACTTATTTTTCGTCTCCGAGTGTGATTAAAATCATACTTATATGTGGACAACAATTACTGAGTACTTAATATGAATCAAAATTAAGAAAACGATATCTATGTTTGACAGGTACTGTTTTTTAATAAATTATTTTTTGTGTTTAGCGTGCCAACAGCGTAAAAGATGCCTTGGAGCTGTTGGCTGGCAAGGACACGCTGGAGGGCGTGAGCGACGCATGGCAACAATTGTCCTTGGAGCAACTTCCTGTGGTGCTTCTCTTGCATCTCAAGTGTTTCCAACTGGATGCAGATGGCCACACTGCTAAGATTGTCAAGAACATTGACTTCCCCATTGATTTGAAAATTGATCCTAGTATGTATACCTAATTGTATTGGTTTCCTACAATTTGCTATGATAATGATGTACTTATTTTTCGTCTCTGAACATAACATAACTATGTTATAAATCTGTAGTAAAATATAACTGAATGAACTTATAGCTTACTTATAATGAACTTCTGTTTTACTTTCGTGTAACCAATATTGTTGTTGTTACAGAAATTATGTCCTCTAAGCTGAAGTATACGTCGAAGCAACGAATCTACAAGTTGTTTGCTGTCGTGTACCACGAGGGCGTCGAGGCTGTAAAAGGACATTACCTCACCGACACATTCCACGGACAAGTGGGATGGATCAGGTATTCTAATATTTTATTCTAGTAGATTTTATATATATGTATTTGCATTTGATGCATACAGTGATGTCATTATTTTTCGTCTCCAATCGTAATGCTATTACGGAAAATGTGGATATTTTCTACTGAGTATACCATAAGTACTCGATATGCGGGTTCGAGCGAGATCGCGTAGCAATAACGAGAGGTATTTGTCGCAGGTACGACGACTCCACCGTGACGCAGGTGAGCGACGCCGCCGTACTGAAGCCCAAGCCTCCGCGCATGCCCTACCTGCTCATGTACCGGCGCCACGACACGCTGCCGGCGCGCGCGGGCGGCGCCGCGGCCGCGGGCGCGCAGTGAGAGCGGGGCCCGGCGGGGCGCGCGCTCAGCCTGCACTTCCTGGTCAGCGCCGTGCCCTGCGCGCGCGCCGCGGCCGCGGCCGGCGCCTGCGTGGCGGCCGCGCCCCCGCTGCGCCGCGTGCTGGTGCAGCGTCCGGCCGCGCGGCACGTGGCGGCGCTGGCGGCGCAGGGCCTGCTGCCTGCGGCGGGGGGCGCGCTGCACGTGTGCCTGTGTCCCGTGCACTTCTCCCGGTGGATGCTGGCCGCCTGTCGCGCTCCCGACGTTTGACTAGATCTGACTAATCATTTTTGTCGTTAAAAGTACAAAATCGTGGTGTCGTCGACGACTTTGACCCGGTGGCTGCATCGTAATGTTTTTAGTCGAGCCTCCGAACCATCAAATGAACAATTGTAAAATAATTTTAATAGGTTATGAGCATGGTTCGTGTAAATAGTATTTTGTGCGATCGGCGAGAGGAGGTCCGTGACCTTGAAGGTCTCCAGAAATATATCTGAATTCCAAACGACATTATTAATGCGATACGAAAATGCCTCCTCTTTTCGTAGTGTCTATGTATTTGTAATTTTTCTCTTCGACAATATGGAATTGTGGTGTTTACAAATTATAAAAATTTCAAAAAACATTGTAGAATAACTAATAAATTCATGATACATATTATTTCTGTTCAATGTGAATATGACAGGTACTAAATTGATTTAATCAACTATTAAATAGTACAAAGCCATTTAAAGATGTGATATTAGTCACAAGTGTACCAGTATGCTTAATATAAAATACATAGATATTTCTGTTGGTATACATTGGTATATTGGGACTGGCGAATATATTCATGTAGAAATAATATGTAACTTGAGTTGTGTAAGTTAGTTGTAGCAGTAAGCAATAAAGTAAGGGTCGTGGAGTATTAACGCTGGCAATGTTAATGGTATCGGTGCTTTGACGGACTGACTATGGCAGTGAGTGATATGTGCCCTATGATTCTTGTGATAAAGGAGTGCTTGAGGACGATAACAGCAGATTGTTTAGTTGTAACTATTGTATAGATATTGTTATAACAATATAAGTGTTAATTATAAATAGAATATATTATTATCTCGCTGTTGGAATGTTGTGGGGAATGTCTGTTTTTAATATTATTGAAATTCATTGAGGTCTGTTTTTAATCTTGAAAGTTTTGAAATGTAAATTGTATTTGGTGGTAATTGTGCACTCGCGTGGCTGATAGATAGTATTACCCCTTACGTTGACAATGCCACACTAGTTTCGTCATCAAACTAGCTGACTATTGAGTTGCGTATATTTGTTTCGTCAACAGGAACATATAGAATGTGAGCCGACAGTGTGTGTGGTAGCACAAGTGCTATGATTACGTTTGTGTCCACTAGTTAAATATCTGAATTGATTATTGTATATTAATGGAACTGCTTAGAGTTGACTAGCTAGTTTGATATTACAATTTTATAAATAGCTATGCTATCCGTTTATTATTGTGAATTAATAATGAACCATTTTGATCTCACTCATATTGTTGTTGTTTGGGAATTATTACGAGTTCGAATGTAAATTTCCTTAAAGTGATTGAGGCAATACATCATGCCTTATTAGGTATTTGAAAGCTAATATTACGAAATTGACCAAAAAGTATGGATATTATTTGAAATTGCTGCTATTCTAGCTTTTCTACTTAGTGTTATAAAATCATAATAAAGAAGCCAACACTATTTAGGCGTTAAAAATATCTTAAAATGCACTTCAGTTTTGTCCAAATTATAATATGAAGGAGTATTTAATCTTATAATTAGTCAATTTAACTATTAATACGAATAGAACGAAATAGGTTTAGTTTTGTATGATAGTTTCTAAAACAGAGTTATATACTAACTTGCTAAGCTTTTTATATGTATAACTTGGTTGTTGTTAATTCGTTTATTTTGGATTGTGGGTAGGTATTAGTGTAGTTAGCGGTTACTGAGAAGGATAATAATAATAGCTCACGTGATAGCTAGCGTCGATGTAACGTCGCACGAATAGCGTAGTGTGCAGGGCGGTCGTGGGAGCCAAGCAAGTCGCTGAACAGCTGTTCCTTTTTTACCAACTGCCACATAAATTATGTTCATAATTTTAAATACATTACTTCCTTCCTTCCAAGTGTTCCACCAAATATCGGAACTTTACTGACATTGTAACAATTAATAAATTGAATTTAAAACTAGTCATAATAAAAATTGATCATGTAATCAAAATGCAAGTAATAAAATATAACGAATTTCCAAATATTTAAATATTTGGAAGAAAACAATTACTTGAAAATTCTAAATGACGAATGACTTGATTCTTGTAATCGTTAGTAATGGGTGTCAAAGTATGGCAGTTAATGCTAACAACATTTTATAACATGTTCATTGAGCTGTTTGCACGACCGTCCTCTCAGTCATTACTTATTAGAAAAAATACGTCACGAATTTTAAAATGATATTGATGCAGCTGCTTGCAATTGTACATAAACTATAACATGAAATGTTCCATAAGAATAATACGAATTTATTCATCTATTTTCTAATATAATTATGAAATGGCCACCTAGACGAGCTGCGTTATGCCGCTGGTCTACGAACCCACAGCATTTTTTACTTGCACAATTTAATTTACTGACTACTAGTTTTTATAAATCTGTTCCTCTCGTTTTAGCGATATTTATTTGTCAAGTGTGGAGTTTTGCTGAATCAACTGCTTATTTTGTGTTTGTATGATTCAGTGAGTTGAGGTGCGAAATATGAGTATGAAAGTTTACGTTGATTGCGTCTTTTTAAAGATTTCGTAACATTACATTAATTTAGCTCCTAGCGGGTTGATAGTTGTAATATACTAAGTGGTTTTTCAAGTGATTAATATAAACATATGATAGATAGGCCTTAACGTAAAACGGTACGTACTAGCGATGTTCTGTGGAGTATGTGGTGGAATCTTTATGCGTAAGACTGAGCGCAGGGTCCCCGAATGTCTGTTATTTATGTTTTTGATTTTATTTTGATGTGAACACAAGCACACATAGCTAGTAAGATTTTATAGTAACAAAACGCTGCCTTTTTAGTTAAGAGTCTGTGTTGCATATTTATTGAAATATATAACTTTAATTGGAGTAAAAACTCAATGTCGCATCTTGATTGAGCACATGACCTATCCAGGTATATTGCATAAACAATAAACATGTTAGTTAATACACTATAAGAATAGCGAGGCACGATCATGACGTACTAGTGTATGTAGCTAGCAGCGGGCAGTTACTGGAGCACATAGTTGGCTGTGACGTAGTTGCTGGTGAGTGTGCCAAACACCAGTAGCCGACATGTTTGACTTGTTTATGTGATTCTTGATATCAATCACCCGAATCGCAAACTTTTTACATCTACTACGGTATAGATGATAGAAGTAAAATTATTTCATTGTGTATATTAGTTTGAAGAGTTTAATCAATTAGTAGATGTTCCTGATAATTATAGTTCATAAATATCAGATCAAAATAGTTATGAGCAAAATCGAATTACTTTATGACTAGTTTAATTTCCAGCAGAGAGCAGCTTATATGTATCTAATGTTTTTCGTTCTGAAATAAAACATGAATGTAATAAAAATATAATAATTTAATAGCAACTATAAATCTTAGTAAACTGGATTATAGTTGATGTATGTACGATTAATAAATAAATGACGATTGCTAGATAATTTCATCTAGATATTTGTAATGATGAATTTGATATTTTCTTATAAATTATAAGAATCTGTGTACAGTTTCCTCAGTAATAAAGTGCTTCAATGAAAATAAATACAGAGCTTATTCTCGATGTGGAATATTTGAGCGTCTTGTTACAATAACAACAGTGTGAATGTTATGTACAATAATCCGCTTGCTCTCTGTTCCTGTAGCACAAATATTTGGGAATTGTCACCTTATTATATCGATAGTATTTCGCGTTCTCAACCACATGACTATGCAATTGTATAAATTAAATAATATTATTGTAAATTATTTTTCAAGCAAAAATGAGTGATAATTTAATAAATGTCTATAATTAATAATCACAAAACTGTTTCATTGAGAGCGCGAGTACTTTCCTATTTGCAAATAACAAGGCCTAGAATTTACTAAGATTGTAATTATCCTGTGTCATATATGTATGCCGTCGTGAATCATCTTAATATCAAATTATTGTAAAATAGATTAGGGTTATAATAGATGGGTGTAAAGACTGGCAGGCCGTTTCATAATAATGCTAAGATAATAAGTGTATTCTTCCATGCATGCATTTTGACGTCACACACCAGTTGTTCCTGTTCTTCAAAGTTTAATAATCTCATAAGACTTGTTTTGTTTATGCTAGATCGGCCTGCCTAATATAAAAAAAAGTGATGGGTAAACCCGAGTATTTCATGTCCATGTCTCTTGTGATTCTAAATTGTATGAAAGCCAAATATTATTTTGAATGTTATATGCCATCATAAATAATTATTATGAACAAACGTTATTTTGTTTTCAATCTAGTCCCAATCAGATGTATCTTTTGGTGCAATTCATATAATATTTATCGAATAATAATGACCTCGTTACCGATCCTGTAAATTATTTACTACTGTAAATAATATTTCTCTGAACACAAGGCAATAGTTTAACGAATATTCTTTACAATGAACATTTTGGCGGTCTATCTACTTAGATGTAAACTTTTTAAAAAGATGTATGTAGTAATGCTTATCATTATTATTTTTATATGAGAAGTTCATTATTTAAGTTACGTTTAATTTTAGAGGTAAGATCCAAGGCTGTATTAATTAGAAGGAGTGTTTTTTCCCCAATCAAGCGAAGCTGATTTAACTGTTCACCATCCAACTGAATTAATTATTGTGTAAAAAATACTCCTGTTGGTCATAATAGATAATGTTCACTTTAAAAAAGACAAAAAAATGCCAATGTTTAAACATCGTACATTATTTATTATGATCAGCTTTCTAAGTTGTTATGTGGATATGTGTGTATGACTAATTATAAAATAATCCTTTATTTTGGTAACAAATTGGTGTTATGAAAAATTTTGTGAATAAAATAAGATGTCATTCTGATCTAAATCTTTCATTTTATCATCAAGTAAAATACAAAACTGTTAAGTACACACGACGATTTAACATAATTTAAACTATTTATTTTTCGTCTCGAACAATATTCTGAAAGCAGAATTAAAAAATGTTATCGTTTTAAATATTTGAAGTATATCTTCGTATGCTACTATTATTTTGATTTTGAGGATGTCGTAGGTACTAAAAGACTTCATACGTGTTTAAATTATAGAGCTCCGAGTTTTAACTTACTCGAACTCTGCATTTGAACATTCCGTATATCAGCACAAAGATGACGATGGGTAGCATTGCAACACCCAACAGAAGCCAGCCAGCCATGGCCTCGTTCGAACCCCACGGGCCCGCACCGCCAGCAAAAACCAACTGAAAACAATAAGTGTAAATATATACCCAAAAAAGCAAACAGCTTGCGGCCTCATGTAGCATAGTAAAGAACTTCATATTTATAAGAAAAACCATTTGTTCGTTTTATTTTCAGTTAAATAAAAAGAAATGAGCTGTGATAAAAGCTTTTCATTTTATTTATAAGCTTAAATATAACCTTTACAAAGTCAAGAAAAAACCATTACAAAATAAAAAGTTACAAATAAACATTGTTACAAAACATCGTTACTTATTACTTTGACTATTGGTTCATTCAGAAAATTATCGAGGAAACATGTTTACCATCATGATGGCGGGAGAGAGTGCCCAACAGACCCTCATAAACACACTGGGGTATTCTCCGACTGCGAAGTAAACGTCTTCACAGAAAGTAGTTTGTCCATACACGAAGGTGACTACAGTGGCGATTAATGCAGCGATAGGCAAGCGAGGCTTCGATGCCGGCCAATTCATCAGGAAGTTTACTACGTACAAACCACCCTGTAAAGTAAAAAAACAGTTAGAGTAGTCTAAACGACATGCGGTGGCCCGGAGGTTAAGCGGGTTGGCCCGCTCGCTTCTCATACATAGGGTGCGCCTTCGTAACCTGGTGACCAATGTGACTTTTCCGAGCTATACGTAAGTACTTTTTATGATTATTTACACATTTCTGACCTACAATGAAGGGAAACACCGCGAGGAAACCTAAAATTAAGTAGGTATTATAAGTTTAAAATCGTCAAACCGCCTTGATCAACCACGGTGACTAATGCTTAAATTTTTTGCATGTGAGTAGAGGCCTTTGTTTAGCACTTAAAGGATAATAGAATGATGATGCGAATGTGAAATTATATTAGGTACCTAGTGGGCGAATAGCTTCACTAAGAAGACTGACATGTTTACGTTCGAAAGTGCTAATGAAAAGAGGAGATGTGGATGTTAAGTTGCTACTCTCGTGTTAGGGACTGTCTTCAAAGTTAATATGTTAGGTACCTACCTGTGTACACAGAGTCATGGTTCCGATTAAGCAGAATAGCAAGCAGACGACTATGAGGAAGGGCCCCGTGATCTTTCTGATCGAGTGGCCTGTGAACGCCGACATTATTGTTTGCACCAACAGCGCCTGCATACAAAACACAGTGTAGGTATGTATATATTCGAATTATTTTGCGATTGTTTTTGTGGAACAATCGGTTAGTTGTCATTTTCAGATTAAGAGAAGTGTAGTAGAACCAAGCTTTGGCACCAATGGGTCGGCTCGATGGGAGTGATTCTACGCCCTGACAGAAAACCGGCGTGAAACAACCACAGCGTTGTGTTTCGCTGTGTGAGTGAGGTTACCGAAGGCCCAATCCTTCCTATCTCCCCAATCCATAAATATATGAAATCGTAATCCCCAAAAGGCCGGCAACGCACTCTTAGCTCTTATTGGCGTTGCGGTAACGTTTCGGTAGATATGTGCAGGTAATCCGTCTGAGTCGTTAGCCGACCTACTTCATAAATAATATCACACTAAATGCCTGTATAATTCAGGACTATGTCTACTAACTAGTTTTAACGCAAATATGGACTTGCGATTAGTTACAAAATTAGGTAAGTAATTAATCGCATTTGGGATTTAAAATTTTGCTAGAATGGAATTAATCATGCAACTTACAGTTGTAGTAAGTGCTAAGACGAACATCGTAAAGAATACGAGTGCCGACCAGAACTGACTGCCGGGTACACGCGCCACGTAGTCTGACCACAGGATAATTGACGAGGACGATCCTGTGGGCATGCATCGAGATACAATTCCGTACATATTTATTGCTTAGTGAAGAAAATGCATGAGAGAAGACCTTTGACATCTACGAACTACAAGTGAATTCACCAGGATCCCCAGATAAATGTAGGTGCTTAAATTGAGACGTTGATTGTTTTAATAGGTATCACATGTCTGTACCGCCACTGGTCATTTTTATTTACAGAAAATTGAGAATTTGTTTTTGTTTTACCCAATTGTTATCCCCTGTAGTATCACATGGCCCTGTGAATTGGTCAAATTTACAACAAATCCAGAGTAAAAAAATTATAAATGTCACGTAAATTATAAAACATCCGGCCTTTGAACTCGATTTGGTCACCCCCGTCGCACGACGACTGAGTGATTTCAGTCCTAAAATCCTAGGTACCTACATACTGAATTACGTGCACAAAAATTCCTAAACGTTACCTGGCAAAATGTTAGTAGCATTTTCGTAGTCTTTATACAAAGCTCCGTGCGTGGCTCCTAGTACGAGCGCGGCTGTCATGCAACCAGACTTGGAGATAGCAAACGCAAGCATCGCCGTGGTGCCTAGCTTGTGCTGCGTCTTGGGGCAATAGGATCCCAGCATTACCAGGGATCCTTGGCAGACTGTCATCTCTATCAAGGAATACTCGATCGCTTCACGCCATATCTAGTTAAATGTCCAAATTAAATCCATTACAAGTACCTATCTAGGTAGGTTACTATACCAAAAAACAGGTTAAAATATGTTTTAAACAGGAGCTCGCCTAACTTGAGCTTTGCACTCTTTGGAGTTGAATTTCCAGGTGAAGCATATTGCAAGGACTGATGCATTTAGTTTCGAAAATTTTGCAGCATCTATCTGTATTAGTCACCACCTATTAGATACATAGGTCTCATAAATAGCAGAATTATTAAAATTGGGTGTAAGTATCTATGCGTCCTTTTCTACCTGTCTCTTACTAATGGAGTGGACAAGCGTAGGTACTAATGTACCGCGACTACGGCCACGAAGCAGAAGAAGGAACAGTGAGGTTTTTAGTTAGTAAGAGTCAGGCACTCCATCTAGGTCCATCTAGAGTTAGAGCAGTCTTCAAAAAAAAATGTTAATGTTATCATACCTGTAAGTTCTCAAATAGAACGCTCCAGTCGCAATCGTTAAACATGCGGGAGGCTCCCTTCAGCTGCACCGCGCCCACACCCACACACACCAGCACGAAGTATGTCAGCACGTCTTTAAACATCACCAACTAATGGAATGAAAGATCACCTCGTGTTATTGACACAGTGCCTGTTTCACCATCTTCAAATTCGTATAAAGTTTCCGGTAGACTTATGTGAAACCATGCGAAACATAGCTTGTAAAAGATAGGTACGGTCTATATTTAAATTTATCTGGTATTCAGAAGGGTGTCGAGCATAGGTTAGCAATTCTCAAATCTGGGGTTGAGTAGCTAGCTTAGCTTTAGAATAGCTTTGGGTATCAGATTTCGGGTCAATCAATCGTAGTCATAATCAACTTAAACACTGAGATCCATAGGTACCTTATACATAATCATATCACTATGATCTGTGTACCTACCTATATCTAGCTTGATGCTAAACCGCCTACGTAGATCAATTCAAATTTTATCTATAGGTAACTGTTAAAACGGTATTTTTTCAACTAACATCAAGTTATCCCATATCTTTAATGCATTAAAATTTTATTGTTGAGGTGATTGGTCGACCGGGTGCCGGGCAACATGTCGAGCGTTCAATTCCTGCACAAGCAACTCTGTGTGCTCCACAAAATTGTTGTTGCCGGTCTGGGTTTGACGGCTACTTGAATTTGTAGATATGTTTTGCAAAAGCACTTACGACAAAGGAGGAAATCCTTTCAACGTCTTTTTTTAATTTACACTAACCTTTGAGAAGCTATAAATCCGTTTGATGACAATGAAGTAGATGAGTATCCAGCATATCACGTAGTAGATGACCAGCTCCCACACGACGTTGCCAAGACCTCCCGCCAAACCATCACGTTTCAAATCCAACACGAAGTTACTATAACGACATAATATATTTTTTTACAACCGGGCGGGATACTATACCTATTGAAAAGTGAGTTTAGGGAAAGTGCTGCCGTGCACAATGAGGCTTAAAGAGGTCACGTATCTCTTAATAGAGATGTGCCATAACAGGGGTTGCACCGAAGGAACTCTGGAGTTGTTCTATTAAGAGGTCCCGGTGTCTCTTACAGGTGTTGATGGTGGCCACCTGGGAGTTTTCAGTGAGCTAAAAATCCTAAACTCCCCTAGTCTTTTTTCCCTTGCTTTTGGGTTAAAGGTGTCCCCCCCGTTAACAAAAAAAGGCGGAAAACAAGCAGACTGATCACCTGATAGTATGTCAGTGATCGAGGCTGCCATGGACACCTACAACATCATTGGAGTTGCAAGTGTATTGTCAGCATTTTGTGTTTTAGTGATTGGGGAAGGAAGGATGGCACTTTCAGACTTCAAATGACGATATATGGATACAACGTAAGCGTTGTTTCACGTCGTATTCTGTAAAGTTGATGCCGGCCGAAGATAGGTAATCAAAAACACCCAGAATCCAATTAACCTTTACCTACGAATTTCAAATTGAAAGTTACTATTTCTCATAGCTATTATTACAAAAATGTTTGGACTAACTAAAAGAAGGATTGTGGGGGTGTCTCGCTCCCTGCTTGAAGAGGACGGTGCCTGGCTGCGCAGGGTGGCTGGGCTTCGGCAGCGCAGTGCAGCCACGGCAGAAACGTGTGGACGGAGTGGACCGTCAGCGCCAGGCACCACGCCCCCACCCCGCCCGTCGCCAGCGCACTGAACACGCACGTCGATAGCATCGCGAACCCTATGCCTACGGAGTTTTACGCAGACCATAGTGTTGATGGGTTTTAAAAATATGCATAAAATAATAACTTAAATATTTATTCTTTAACTGGGTACGTATCTACCAATCACTTTCGGGTTCTAGACCACAGATTTCGCTGTTTCAGATAGTGCCAAAACAATTATGACTGCACGGTGGGCGGCTGGGAAACTGGCAGTCGCGCAACGTGTCGCCATTTCCGCACAGAACGACTGTTTGTGTGACCAACAAATTGTTGTTGTTCCGGGTCTGGGTGTGATCTACGTATACGTAAATTGTATGTTTGTTGCATCCACGACACAGGAAAAAAAAATAGTGTGGAGCAACGGTTGATAAAAATAATTTTGCAAAAATATACACAAGAAAACTTGTTCATTCAATTTGTGGATTTAAAAGTTCCCCTAAACTGACACGCTATAGTCATGAGTACAAAATATTCATGAAGACATCTACCAACCTCGTGACATCGGCGCTATATCCCAGCAATTAAGCACACTCTTCTTGGTGGCCACGCCCAAGGCGAGTTCCAGGTAAAACAGTGGATACCCAATGAGCACGCTGAAGACATTGTAGAGGAAAATGAAGGGCAGCAACCTTCGAAAGTCGTGAAGGTACGGATGCCACCATACTTGGAAGATACCGATGCAGGCTGATACCACCAGCTGACGGTAGCTTATATTGTTTGTCCAGCGATCCGATACCTGAGGGTTAGTATCTAGTGATGATTTGGACTACTACTTTGAAGGTCCAAAGGTTTTAGAATTCTCTAAGTAAAAGATTGAGCTAGTTGGATGATTGGATGCAAGAGATGGAATGTCAATGATGGACTCCTGAATCCGCCTTGCCTAGAATTACCTACCTACTTCCATCTTACTGGCAAGTACCCATATCAAGTATTCCAAGGGATGTGTACTTTCTAAGATTATTTAGGTGCCATTGACAAAGTTAAACGAGAAAAACGTCGTGTGGAATGGGACTTATAGGTAATTAGAACTTAATTATAAGTTTGAAATCGCCAGTCTGCCTTGAGCAAGCGCACTTATAAGTTAGTAGACCAATTAATACTTATTTAAACTAAAAACATCATAAGTACGTTACCATTGGACTATCTGTAGATTCCGAATCAATAGTTTCCGTCATAGTTTTAGAACGAGTGCTCTGTAATTTAAGAAAACAGAAAACTATTATCAAGTTATGTTATTTAACAAATCAAACGTTATGTTTCATAAAAGCAACATCTACCATGGTTTCACTCATTTTGACAATGAAATTATGTTTAAATAAATAAACAAATTATTAATAATTGTAGAAAATATAAAATCTTATGGTTTGGTTATAGACATTTGTCAAAATATACTGGCATTCAGTCATCGATTGGTCTTGGCGGAAGTTTTCAATTTTCGCAAGACACCAAAGAGTATCAACAAAAACAGAATAGGTATTGGTGTTGTGAAAGGAGTTCTATTTTGGAATACCAGATGGATAACCAAAGGTAAACTAGCATCGAGGAGTAACAAGTGCGTCGTCGACCATTAAGGAGGATAGAGTTTTCAGGATTGGGGGATTAGATGGAGTTAGGGGACAGGTAAGGGGAGGATTAATCCTCCATTAACCTCACTCAAACAACTCAAGCGTTGTTTCACGCCGATTCTCTGTGAGGTCATGGAATCACTCCAATCGAGCCGACCCATTCAGTCTTTAAGAGTGGCTGGTTGGAAGCGATTGGCATTTAGCGCTTACTAATACTGATCATATCATAACTGGTTCCTTCTCCTGCTCTGGGCCGAGGCCACGGTGTATCCTCGCGCTTGCCCACAACCCCGGCTGAACATCACCCCTAAAGGCCCCCTTCTGTGGTGGTCTATTGGCTGTTTGAGGCGCGCGCCGAACGCTACGCGCCGTACGCTCGGGTCTGGTTCTGACGGCGAGCTACCGTCCGCAGACCCGCGCTTAGTGTGGCCGGAGATCGTCTCTCGATATCATAAATGGTAAGGGTGTAGATTCAAAATAAAAAGACAACAATTGTTAATATAACAAATTCTATAATTCATTTAAGTCTATAATGTCTAGCTATACATAGTGGATTCGTGGAGCTAAATAAATTAACTAATCGCACCAAATTACGCTATTATTTGGTTTACAAACGTGATAAAACCTACAATACAAAGTTAATCACATTCTTCATTGAATTTTATTAACCGAAGTCAATACAAATGATAGTCCGAATACTATTGGAACGCGACACGAACCAACCAATCGTACCGTTCGCTGAAAGTAGCCGTTTTGTGATTGGCCCATTTTATTTTACGCGTTAGTTCGCGTTACGGTCCAATAGTAAGTTTCTATTTCGAAAATAGATTTCAAACAACGTTTAATTTCCAAAAACTAGTCAAAAGAGTTCAAATAAAATGGCATTTTTTTTTAAATCTATAAGTATATGAAAAGGACAATTGGCGGTAAATGCTAAATGTAGCTTTAGTGCTAACAGTATAAGGATCATAATCACTTATTTTTGCCGCACAAACAATAATTTATCCAAATTTTGACTAGTTATTGAAATATTACAATGCGTATTATTCTAGCTTACAATTTCAACTCTCTTCACATCTCTGAGCAAGATAATTATTGCTAAAAGTATATTATTATCAATTTAATGATATATAGTGTTTACATAGTTGTATTGTTATTGAAATTACAGTCAATAATGATATTTGCCCGATGGCAGGCGATGAATTACATTAACTTTTCGCCTTAACGTCTTCAGTCAGTAAGGGCGAGTCTTATGCGAAACATCGGGTAAAAATTTAAACTTGATAACTAGCTAAAGATCTTTTTTGCGACTTGCGATCCTGTGCGGGATACATGCGTTACAGGAAAGGCAGAATATTATATGAGTATAAACATAAAACTTAGTTTAAAACATATCCATGTGTATACAAAAACTTATACCCGGTTTCTGGAAGGCTTGTCAACGCTAAAATTAACTAATCTCCTGTTAAATCTCTTGTCAAGTCATCTGATTGGTTGACTGAATTATCAACAACCAATCAGATTACTTGATGAAATTGATTTTTGCATTGATCGGCCTTTCGAAACCTGGAATTATATTATTGCATTGCCTTAAAGTTAAATTGCGAATACGGTATTTTACAACTAGTCAAATTCAATACTTCTAATAAAATGTCAAAAAGAAATAGGTCTATGAATTTGGCATGGAAAACAAAAATGTGACGTCATCATATTTTTGGATCAAATAGAATACTTTTTTCTTAAAATGTAAGCAATAAAAATCGAAAATTAAGTATATCGTCAAATCCATCAATAAAGTAAGATTGCTTTTGAATATTTAATTGTATTGAAATGACCGAGAAAAATACCCAATTCGTCAAGTTTGTAAAATCGTAACGCACATTTTTACACGTTAATTTGCCGCTAGAGGGCGCTAATGTAGAGTAAGATCTAGTGACTAACATTTTTAGCGAATGCTATAAAATTAGATACGAGTAACTTTTGAAAGCAGCGATTTTAGAACCATACTCGACAGTGGCGCCACTTTTTAGGCAACTTATTGGCTGGATAGCATATACATATTTATATCGATTAGGCTTAATCGATTATATTGGTCTCAAATACAACCATATAGACAATTAATGTCTGGTTTACTGTCCTGGAATTTTAACAAGAGTTATTTACCAAATGTTTTAATACATGTACCTACTTAATTTTAAAGCAAAATTTAACAACATTAACATTCCCACTTATAGGCTTATGTCGTAACAATAAGGCTGGTTTTCGTTCGGACGTAGAAAACTACGTGCATAATCCACACAATACACGTGCAATCGTGCAGCATTAGCTAAAATTTTATAATACTTGGAGTAACTTTATTGCATAGTTTTGATAGGAAAGTTTAATCAAATAATATATTTTATGAACAGTCACACAAATTTAGGTATGTCAACTGAAAAATGTGTATGGTATCAACAAATAGAAAAATATTAGATGATATTGTTCATTTAACAATTTTGTCTATATTAGTATAGTTTCTTGTTGATACCAAACACGTTTTTGTCAACAAATATATCAATGTAACCCTTTTGCAGACACGAATCACATTTAAATACACGATGTTATTAATAAAATGAGTAATTTATAACGTCCGAAAGGTAATGAATAGATTTTCAACTTTATTCCGTAGCTTAAAGGTTCAACACAATACTTTTCCTACCCACAGTTTGCACAGCACAGAACACAATTTACATACAATAAAATTGCAATTACAGAAAAAACTTGTGAAATACAATAAAACCTCGCTTTTATATTGAAGGAAGGAGGCATATCGTTTGGTAGCTTGATAGAAGAAGAAATAACATTCCGAGAGATGAGAGAGGAACACAGAGAGGGAATAAGCCAGAAGCGAGGGAAAAAGTTATTGCTTTTATTTATTGTTGCAGCAATATTTTAAAGGGGCAATGTACGTATACCTACATCCTAATATTTTTGACTTCGCCTTCGATAGTGAATGCAAACTCGAAAATTCAAAACGCAGTGTTTCCTTTTAAACGATATCCCACATTATGATTTTATCCTGTGTCGTGGGTGCATTTAGAAACCTGGAACAACAATTTAGCGATTCTACTTAATGTGGTTCCGACACAGACACAGGAAAAATACTAGTGTAGAACAAAGTTCAAAAATTAAATAAATAAAATTAACTCAAAAAAAAAACTCTAAATCTTAGTATAATTTTTTATCCAGGAGTTTTCAGTTTTATTAGCGTATTCAAATTATTATTATATTTTTTTTTTATCAACTACACTTGCATGTGGAACATTTTTTTAAGAATTATTAATTTTTAGAAGGACGTCGATGATTTAACCTCGCTTTTGCCGGTTTATGGGACATAATTAGAAAACACATTGTCTCGCGTAGATCTGCGCTCCTGTACATCACGGTGACAAACGACGAAACATGTGTGTTTTCTACACGTTTACATGTACTATCGTTTCTTTTCCCTAATAAATAAAGTAGAATTAAGAAATATTTTAAAGACAAGTATCTACATTGACCCCTATAAAATACCGCTTTCATTAAACAAGGTTTATGTAAAAGGCACTTTAGTTGTCTAAATAAAATAAAATTAAATTTAATTTAATTAATGGGACAAATTGTGTGCACTTTACGTCGTCTATGTGGTGGGGTGGGGAGTATTCCTCAGAGACTGAACAGGTCGCCTGCTGAGGGCAGCGGGGCCAGGCCTCCCGTCACGTCCGGCAGACGGGACACGTCTGGCAAGTTCTCTATATGAGACTTCACCTCTGCTTTCACTGCATATATTTTCTGGAGCTTTATGTTGTATTCCTGGAACAAGAGTATTTTTTATTACAAAACTGCGGGAGAGCTAAGCTACGGCACGAATGGGTCGTCACGACCGGCGTGATATCACTGCCTCACAGAAAACCGGCGTGAAACAATCGCAGCGTGGTTTCCGTGAGAGTGAGGTTACCGGAGACCCAATCCATACCCTCCCCTTATTGCGTTTTGCGCACCGAAACGTACCTACGATGTTCAAAGTCGCCATTAAATTTGAATCGCTTTTATCTATAGAACTAGCTTTCTGGCCGCAAACTTAATTTATATGCACCTCATAAATTATTTTTAAAAAAGTCCATCTAAATTTGTAAAGCAGTTTTAAAGAAAAGCGACTTTGTATTATACCTACATGTAGCAATGCATTAAGTACATAACGAAAATTATATAAAAATACACACCTCTAATCTAGCCTCAGCCTGTTTGGCAAGGTCTCGCTGCGCTTGCGCAAAGTCCCGCAGCATGGCGGCCATTTTGCGTCGCTTCTCCATCTCTTCGCTGAGCCTCAGGTTGTATTCGGCCAACAGTTCCGCGGCAGAGTTCACCACGGCACTTAGACTTAGAGCTGACTCCTTATCTAAGAGTATAAGAAGGTCCTGTTAATATTTCCTTATGTCATAAGCACATAGTGGTGTCTATCAAAGTGCCAAAGAGGTAAACTCAAACAGTAAAAAAATGGTGTATAAATAAATAAACAAATATATATTTTTTATTACACATATACTTTTTATAATTTCTGGGAATTTAGCTTTAGCACGACTTTGAGTAATCCGCCTATAATATCACAAAAACTACTGTTACTGTCTCTATTTATTTTACTTATTCCAATAAGATATTCCATAGTATTTGCTGCACAAGCAAATACTATGATTGAATTTACTAATGTTTAATATAAGTATGTCTTTAGAACGTGAATAAGTTACTTGAAAATACAATTTTATTGTACCTATGTACTGTAATACACTACATAGGCTGGTTTCAAATAACCTATTTTTAGATTAATTATCAGAAATACATTACAGATATAACCTTCACAGTAAAATAAAGTTAGCTACCTCTCGTTAGCAAATCTAAAAATTGATTATAAAAACCAGCCTGCACTAATAATTTTTCATACATTAATTGTTTATCGAAAAACAATTTCCATAGTTGATTGATATTTAGTTACTACCTGCATTGACTGTGTAGTCTACTGTGCACACTAAATATCATAGTCATAAAGCACAATATCGCTTGAAAATATGAAAGGGGAGGTTATTGACATTGTGTTTACTTGTATATTAATAATGTTACCAATTTGGGCATTTTAATAAATAAGTGAAATACACAGGGTATATCATCAGTCTCTTTATTCACATAAAAATGTAATATTTCGTTACAATCACACTAGTTTCACATAATCACAATGTTAGACCACTTATTTCAAATTCTAGTCAATTATAATACATAAATTAAACATCATATATTTGCACTAATTCTTTTAAACTTGCGATCACAGTCAATGCTTACAAATTGATCAGTCTTAAAGAACAATTCTGGCGAAAATATTTAATTATATACAAAATGTGTCTGAATAATAAGAAAAATATGCAAACATTATGTCATCTATGTTAGTTTTAATAATGGAAAGAAAAAAGGAAAATATTGTCATTTATGTTTGCAATCACATTTATTTAATATCTTTAAGAGTTCATCATTTCTTTTGTATGTTTTCAACCATCTTTGAAGAGCTGTAAGGCGGCTTACAAGTGTAATAACAAAGTTGATGCGATGGTAGGGGGTCATTTTACCTTCTAACTTAGACAATAATTGCACTTCCGACACTTCCGGGGGGAGTGACGCGATCCTCTCCCTGACGGCTTCGTCACTAGAAGCACTGGCCTCCAACTCCAAAATTGCCTGAAAAATTTAAACCTTGATGTTAGAAATATGGTTTCAATTAATTCCTTTTTTAATAAACTAACATTTTCTCTTTTGAAATGGCAACAGATTATGGATCACAGAGTTTCTCCCTGTATGTGTGTTTACCCATAACATGTAGCAGAAAATTATTTAACCGTTGTGCAATAATAGTAGTTGCTAACTTTAAAAGGTAGTTATATTGATTTCTATTATTATTGTTACCTCGACTGATTTGAAAAGAGACTGACTCTGAGTTTGTTTCGGCATTTCTTCTCAGAGTAGTTTAATAGGAAATGCCAGCTTCATCTAGTTTTTTACATGTAATTTGACGTGTAAAAGTACCGTTTTAAGGCCTATTTGCAAAAATAAATTCATTGTTTCATTGTTTATTATTTGTCTAATTTGTGGGTGAGATTAACATTTCACCTCCATTAAATGTGTGTATTTTTATTACCAAATACAAATCTGGTAATGTTCAAAGTTTAAAATAGCAAGTTGAGTAATAAATAATATAATACTGATATTATAAAGAGGTAAAATTAGTAAGTTTGTATGTAGGGTGTAATCTTTGGAACCACTGGACAGATTTCCAAAATTCTTTCACTGATTGATAGGTACACAAGGATCCTGAGGGGTATAGGCTATTATACCTGATTTGCGTATTTTATTCCAGTTATCGCTTTAAACGCTGTTGTTTTTAAAATACTGGGTTACATCCCTTTTATACAGGTGTGGAAGCTAGAAAATAATAAGTGTGTTTACCTTGATGAGCTCCTCAGGCTCTGGAGGGTCTCCGGGTGGAGTCTTGGGGCTCAGTGTAGTGTGTGTCTCCAGATGTCCATCCACCTCCTTAGTCTCACTGCGACGACGCTCCTGCTTGGAGCGACCCTCAACTTTAGCCTTCTTCTCTGGTGTCTTTATAACTTCCACATCAACTGACTTGCGTTTGCTTACTTTCTTAGGTAATGCATCGTTAGGATCAACTGAAATGTTTAAAGTATTATAAATTATATTGACGGCATGGGTGGTGCGGGGGTTGGACAACTGCCGTGCAAGGTGTCGCGGGTTCGATTCCCGTACGGCCTACTCTTTGTGCGATCCACAAATTGTTGTTCCAGGTCTGGATGTCATGTGTAAGTGAAATTGTATGTTTGTGGCCACACCGACAACACAGGGGCAACATTAAAAAAAAACTTCCAATCCAGTCTACCAATAACATTCTTGTACAACAGTTCATAAAGAGAAACAAGGGCTGAAATCTATTTAAATCTTTATTATAAAGCTAAAGAGTTTGTTTATTCTAACATTATGATTTGAAATAAACAAGTGTGTGTGTTGGATGGTTAATTAATCAAGGAAGACTATTAGCTATAAAACAGCATGCTTAGACCATTAGGAGACAAGCAACAAATGAAATGTATCAGCACTACATAGTATGAAACTAGGCCTCTATCTGTTTCTATATCCCTATGTATGCTTAAATCTTTAAAATGATGCAAGGCATTTTGATATTTTTTTCAATAAATATAGTGATTAAAGAGGAAGGTTTATATGTATAATAACATCCATGAAACATTGGAGAAATATAGTATCGGCATTGTACTTGTGTGAAAGATGGAGCTGATCCCTAGTAATAAATAAATTCTACAGAAAAAAAATATTTTCAATGGAAGAAATAAAAGTATAAAATAAATACAAAGATTTTGAAGTTTGTCCAGCCTACTGCAGAATGTGAGATCCTAAGGGCTGATTTTTTTAATGGTTAGATAAAAGTTATCTGGAAAATTATTATGCTGCCATCGCGTCAGAATGTTTTGAAACAATGAAACAATGAATTTATTTTTGCAAATAGGCCTTAAAACGGCACTTTTACACGTCAAATTATATGTGAAAAACTAGATGAAGCCGGCATTTCCTATCTGACTACTCTGAGAAGAAATGCCGAAACAAACTCAGAGGTCAGTCTCTTTTCAAGTCCAGACAATATAAAATAACATAATGTGAGAGAACCGTGCAAGTTCATTCTGTAGTGGTCTTTTGAGGAAAGAACCACACCAGTTTAAGTGGACCCGTTCTGAAGACAGGCATGCAAGTGTCAGTTTGCAACCAGTATAGCTAGACAGGCACGCAAGTGTCTGTTTAAGTTTGTACTTTGTATATGACAGTGACAACAACAATTTATCCCTCAGATAATATTTATCTGACTATTGAAAAATCAGCCCTAATTAATTTTTTAAATATCCAAATTATCTTTTATTTATCTCTTTAATGGACAAACATATTAATTTAATTTTGTTTGTTCTGTTGTGTTAACAGCATTACATTTACCTAATGCTATTTTACCAATGTTGTTAATGTAAATACCGTAAAATATAATAGGAAAAATCCAATTCAGGTGGAATTTGCCATACTGATACAACATTACCAATTTTCTATTAGTTGTTTTAACAGGAAGTGTACAACACACACAATAATGAAATTGAAGTTTTTAGATAGAACAGAACATAAATTTTCATACAAACGTTAAAAAAAAATTTTACTTAAATAAAACTAAGCTACTTATTTCTTATATTATTTTGTAGGTATATTCACATTAAACTTTTATTTAACCTATTGCATGTATGTAATTCTTCTTACTACCAATCCTACTAATATTATAAATGTGAGTTTGTGAATGTTTGTTATTCTTTCATTCAAAAACAGCTGGACTGATTTAATTAGAATTTGGTATGTAGGTTTTTCATCGGGCAGGGGCTATTCTATACTAAAATGCCTAGATTACTTTGATAAATATTTCAGAGCAGTTTTTGATATTAAAAGAAATCAGAACAAAAAAAGGTGTTGACTTACCAGCCTCTTTAAACTCTTGTATCTTCTGTGAGTCATAGACTCCTCTTTCCTCCCAAATGCTGAGTATTCTGTGCAAGGAGTGTTTAGTCTTCGTATTTATACCAGTCTTAGCCATGTGTTTGAATGATTCCACCAGCACTTCCCCGAATGCCTTGCCATATTCTGGACCTTTCTTTTTGCTATTCTGAATCACATCATTAGCAAGATACATGAATGTAAGTTGCTTGCTGTCTTTAGCTGTAAAGGAAAAACTCTATGGTGAAAACTTTTTGTAGAAATTTTTACTTTTTTTTTATGAACTGTGCCTCAATGAACCTCATTCTATTCATCTTTTTATTCTTATGAATAGAGATTATAATTATGTAGAAAATTAAAAAGAACTAACTGTATTGTGTTGGGAAGCTGTCATGCTAGATTAGGGTCCCTAGTTGGGATAAGGATTTATAATAATTCCTAGTAATACATTACAATCTGGAATCAAAATAAGAAACCTAAGGCCCTATTTTCAATCACAAAGGACTAGTGACATAACTAGCGAAAAATGGGTGTCATTTTGTTTATCCTTCTTAACCTACCCCATGGGCATTTAAGGCAATTATATAAAGCTTTTACAATGTTTTAATTTATTTTAAGTGCTCAACTAACAATGAGTTAATGTGGCTGAACAGTCTTGTATTAATTATTTTACTTTGAAAACCAAATATGTTGAAAGAAAGAAATAATAAAGTATTTATTTGTCATCACTATGTTGATGATTATGACGAATTGTAATTCAGTAAGCTGAAAGCTACAGGTGGTTTTTTATTAAGTATTGTGTATTCTACACCTTCTGGTATATTGCTATTTGAAATTTCATAAAATATTGTTTATCCTACAATGTTTCCACAAGCTAGTATTGTATTGTAAATATGCCTTGACAATATTTATAACAAGAATGTGCCATTAGCGTCATTATTTTGCCCATCAACAACGAATGAAAAATGAAGCATTTATTTATATTTAATGCTTCGTCAAGAATTTATTGTTTGCCGATACGTGGCCGAATTGAGGAAGTCAATAAATTTTTCAACTATTAAACTTTCAATCAAACTACTAGATTATTCCATTGTCGTAAAATATTAAAACAAATAAATGCGAGTCGTTTGCCACAGATTTCAATAACGAAATTGACTCTAATTATGTAATATAAGGCGCTCACCAACGATGAAATGATGCATTTAAAATTAGTTGAACGTAAAACACTGAAATGGCTACTGAAAATAAAATTCTAGGTTACCTTTTAATATTTCTTTGAACCAGGTTTTCACAATAACAGCATGGTGTTTTCTATGATGTATCAACCACAAGGACAGAGTTTGAATACTTTGCTGGCTGGAGTTTAGTTCTTGGAGTTTTCGAATTAACGCATTTTCTGTAAAACCCGACATAGTTTTGGAAAATTTATTTAAAAACGCCACCAACTACAACACCTCACTCTTCACTTGACGTTGACTGACGCCATATTGATTTCGTACAATTGTCAAAAATGAAGGTGCTTGTTTGTTTCTTTTTTTTTTTTTTTTTTTTTGGAGTTTATGGCCTGGATACGAGCTTGTTTGTTTCTTCGCTTATCTGTGGATACGTTTCGTTTAGCCAACGCGCGTGCTTTCTTACTTTTTTTATTTATTCCCAACCTTAAGTATTGATAAATTAAATAATTGAGAATCTTAATAATGGTGAAGTGTTTAATTAGAGTTCAACTATCACTGTATTACTGAAACACAGGTGTATAAAATATTCAACGGCCTTATTTATAAGGGCTACTTTGATACGATTATGACTTCTAAAACTTCTAAAATCGATATTGACCTAATAACCCGTTAATCGATATTTTATTGTCCTTTTTTTTGTTGAGGAGTAAGCAAGCAGTTTGTTATGGGCTAAACGTTGTATAGCTTCAGTTCAGTCAAGTCAAGAAAATTATTGCGTTGCAAATACCTTTAAATACCTAAGTACCTTGCTATACGAGATAAATTCTATTTAACGTTAGTTACTGTTGTAGTTTATCTGATTCCAGAATCAAATTTAAATGGAAGTCATAGTCAAATTTGATATGTAGGTGGATAATTCGCCGAAAAACCTTAACTTTATTTAACGAATCATTAACTATCGATGTGTCGTTGTTGTGTTGTCGAGGGGAAAATTATTAGATGACTTCTCTCACCTCGTGGGCAAGAGGCAAGAGGGAGTCTGTTCTTGCAAAAGTCCGACGGTACTTCACACCGAGTCAGCTTCTAATGTTGTATAAAGCTCAGGTCCGATCGTGTGTGGAGTACTGCAGCCACATATGGGCTGGTGCTGCGAAATGCCACCTAGCGGCTTTGGATTCGGTGGAAAGGCGTGCAAAGAGGCTGATTGGAGATCCAGATTTGGTTGGGTCCAATATTCAAAGTCTCGAGCACAGGCGCAGAGTAGCCAGCCTTCGGTTTTCTACAGGATACATTTTGGAGAGTGTGCCCAGGAATTGCACGATTTGATTCCGCCATCCCAATTTCACCTTCGGACATCCCGGCGTACGGCGAATATCCACCCCTACGTTGTTGAGACACCTGCGGCCCGGACTAAGCGTTTTGCCTCGTCATTTATACCGCGTACATCGAGGGATTGGAACAGTTTGCCGGCTGCAGTCTTTCCGTCCGAATACAACTTAGGTGTCTTCAAGGCTAGAGTGAATAGGCTCTTAATAAACTAGTGCGCCTTACCATCAACGATTGCATCACTGCTTAACATCAGGTGGGATCGCAGTCAAGCACTGGTTTCTTGCAAGTAAAAAAAAAAAAAGAGTGCCAAACTCTTACTGATTAAAAATTACTCAGTTCCTCTGCCCACCCAATACGGGAGAAGCCATATAATGATCTTTTTAACATTGAATTTCTGGTCTCTACCCAATTAAAGTAAAAAACAATTAAGTATTTTTTTTATTTAAAACAAAACTACTTGCCGTTCAAGTAAGTAAGTACTTATCCAATTGTTGGGGTGATATAAAAAAGAAAATAAATGGTATTTTTTGTGGCATGAAGCCACCTCCAATTAATTATTATAAGGTTAAAAATTGATATAGAAACAAGTTAGGTAATACAAAAAAGTTTAACGGTAGGGATGTAGTCGGGCGGCGAGCTACCCGTGCTTGCAATCCACAGACTCGCGCTTACGATGGCAGGAGATCGTAGCGCGATACCCGATTTGTTTGTGGTGTGTAAATAAACTTAGAAAATCCGTATAACAGGAAAAAGGCACGTTGGCACTTGACAGGTTTCGATCCCTACAGGCGCCTTAGTTTAATACTTTATCGAGGCCCCAGCCTGAAGTAGGAGAAAGAACGGGAAGGTTTTTGTTAGTAAGAGAAAAATCACTAAGAAAACTTGTAATTGGTTAAAAAATAGTTGCATAAGCTGCTGTTTTGTTTTCCGATCTTAAGGATAAAAAAGTCCGATGCTCCCTCTCGCCCAACCCAGGGCGAAAAAATTCAAATCTTAGATGATTTTTCCCTTTAAAAAAATCATCGTGGTCACCACGACTTACTTACCTTAAGTTAACTTAGCAACTAACTTATACCATAAAATTTAAGGTTTAAATAACTTTAATAATGTACACTACCGTATTTACCATCATACCAGTCCATAGCAACCCACACCCATACCCTTATCCGCAATAGTCCTACACTAACCGGGGACTGTTCTTGGCTGTATCTTCATAGCGTATACAGAAACAGTCGCCAGTTTGTGTCCCATTTCATTTAGATTAAAGATGCTAAAGGGACCCTGTGGTCCCATGATTGGTAAAGACGTAAATCATATTACTCAGTTTATGCGGACATGTCCAATCCGGGCCGCCAACTCCGCAAAAGCTAGGTACAATGAGCACCCAACACTGATTTTTAGTTGGCACCTCCGCAGTGACAATTCTATTACAATTAAAAATATAAATACAAAATAATAGATTAGGTGAGGGAGAGCCATGCTGCGGCACGAGTGGGTCGGTTCGACTGGAGTGAAATGCAATGAAATGAAACGGCCTCACAGAAAACCGGCGTGAAACAACCACAGCGTTGTGTTTCGCCGTTTAAGTGAGAATACCGGAGGCCCAATCCTTCCCCTCTCCCAATCCCTAAATCTCCAAATACCTAAACCCCAAAAGGTTGGCAACGCACTCGTAACTCCTGTGTTGTGGGCGTCCATGGGCAGCGCTGATTGCTTACCATCAGGTAATCCGTATGCTCGTTTGCCAACATGTTACGTAAAAAAAAAAATTAGAAATAGAAAAAGTACCAATACTGATAAGGAATTATAGTAGCCCTAGACCTACCTAGCTAGGTATGAGTTTAGAAACCTGTAAATTAATTAACTAAGAGAGTTCTGATAATTTTCTACATCGAATTGCATTAATAAAATATTTGTATGATTTTAATATTTTAGTGCCGAAGCACATTACCTACGGACCAACCACCGAAATATCCATCCAAATATTTCTTTAGTAATTAGCATATAATTTCTATAAGCTTGTTATATAACACTTTCAATCTATCAAACACTATCTAAGTGCCTCTAACAAATACCTAGACGTCTGTAATCACTTGTTTTTCGAATGATAGCGGGCGGTCCCAGCCGTGCCATCGACCGGTCGTAGAACGATGAACATGCGTTCTTCTTTCTCTATACTTACACCTGCGCCGGCGCAGCCTCCACTCAGTTTAGCTTCCAAAGGCTGAGCCGCACGCGCTTCCTCCGCGGCCGACGAAACACAAAATCCGCGCGAAATAAATATCGAACATAACCTAACATATTAAAACGAATTATTTAATCAAAGTATTTATTATATAATCTATAACCTTCTCCAATAGTGTTGTTATTTTATTTTTTGTTTATTTATTTTTACAAATCATTTATTTAAAATGAATTTCTTTTTTGGTAAAAACATTCCCAGTGTTCTGTTGATGTCTCTGGTTATTCTGGCGAATGCTCAAAGAAGAGATGTTGGTAAGTAGATATAGATATGTTTATTATATTATATTATGGCCTTACTTAATTCATATTTAGTTATTAATACCTATACAGAAAAAATCGAAAACAAAATTTAAAAAACATTCGTATTTAGTACTTAATCGATTCGGAAATAACTAAACGTTTTTATGATTAAATTACTAACTTTATTTTAAATATTAAAATTGGTTATTTAAATAAGATATGGGCCCGAATTTCTCAATAAAATTCTGAATATTTTATTGGCATTCGTAAGTATAGATACTCTTCGCTACTTTATAGACGTGCTTTGCTTATGTAATTTGATAAAAACACAAACACCTTAGGTGATATTTCCTTGGTCGTTCAAGAACGAACGATGACCGCCAACCGTTTTGTCGAACGATCATGTTTATTTGAATTCATGTTATTCTATTCTATATTCATTCTATTTAGCAAAAACGTTGAATTACGACTAATTAAATACGGAATAATTTATTTTGTTTCTTATAAAATTAAACTCTCAATTCGATATTTTTCCGTCACTATTATGGTAAGGTTTAGGTACTTTATTAATCTATATATCAATGTTATTTTTGGCATATCCTTGTTTTTCCAAACTTGGTCGATATCTCCTTTAGTTCTAGCTTTTTATTTTGTAGGTATGCAAATATTATTCGCATGATTTTACATGCATTATGCATGTTATGTACGAACATTTATATAATAGGGATAACGTGTAGGTAGGCTCAAAGGAGAGCCCACAAAAACTATGAATAATTTAAATTAATACGCATATATTATATTATTAAATTAACTAGGTAGTCAAAATTTAACTCAAGATATTTTATTGAATTTAATCGTACAATAATCAAAAAATAATTAAAAGATGTTGGAAAATAAAATAATTAGGTAGCTATATCGTTAGGATCTCAATTATGTATCTAACATTGCCTCAATATGTAGGTAGATAAAAAGGTTTCTTCTATCATCTCAAATATACACATCTCAAATAAATTAACCAATATACCTAATCATAAAAAATTAACCGAAAATGCAGAAAGTAGTGTCCACGATAACCTTTACAATCATTCATTTTAATCAAATCAATTAAATTTGACAACAACCACAATTTAATTAACACGCATTACCAAAGTTAAACATTCATAAATACATATTATAAGTAAGAAAACGACCTTCAGATGTTCTTTAAAAAAGATCAAAAATACGCGACGATGTATATGGCCTACTTAACGGACAGTGCATTTAAAATACCTTTTGATAAAAAAAAATAAGTGACATTTAAAATACCTTTTGTTAAAGAAAAAAAAATACTAAAATATTTTGGGTGTAAACCTTGATAAAGTTCTAGTTCAGTTATTGGTATTGTAACCAGTTATCTGTACCTACTTGTTATGTAAGGAACCATGATTATACATAAAAATGTATAAATAAAGCATTTCGGTCTGACAGTGGCCAGCATCGTCATGTTCGGCATCACTTTTACTTTTCATGACACAACTTGGGTGTGATTTCACTTTCGGAAGCCGGCTATTCAATGTTTGACCATCAGATATAATGTAATAATATTATTAGTATTATTACTATGAAGTTCCGATATTTGTATTTTAAATTGCCGTATCGTAATGTCTGAGCCTAATGTGTAGAAAATTAAAAAAAAAACTGTTTAAGTAGGAAAGTAGGTACGTCATAATTTTAAAATTTATCCGGCTGTTGTGTTCGCAAATAGATAAACAGATTTTTATTTTACATTTCTTATTTGTCATGTCAAATTTAATATTTTTTATAAAATATCAAGTAAAAGAAATGTATTTTGTGATTTGTGAAATTTACGTACCTACGTACGTAATTATGTAAAGATTTGTGAAAAATACTAAAACTAAGATTAAATTAAGTCATTCAATCAATGACTACTGATATAGGTAGGTAGGTACTACCTATCTACTCTGGTTAAGTGTTAAACTTATTATCATAATCTTAATCCAAACGACTAACATAAAATAACTAAACATGCCTATTTAAGTATACCTAGTTAGTATCTATAACACATATAATAGTTATGGTATACTATATACATACGAAAAGACGCTATGTACCTACCTACAATATTATTGCACAATGATGTTAACGTAACAACACAAATTTGAAAAAGAGAGAGTAGGTACTTATAATGCTTGTGATTTTGAGAATCTTTTTCGAACTACATTGAAAAGTGGTTTGATTTTTTTTATTGTAATATGTCGGCAACCGAGCAGACGGATTACCTGACGGTAAGCAATCAGCGCCGCCCATGGACACCAAATGGAGGAGTTACAGAGTGACCTTTTAGGAATTAGGGATTTGGAGATTTAGGGATTGAGGAGGGATTGGGGAAGGGGAAGGATTGGGCCTCGGGTAACCTCACCCACACGGCGAAACACAACGCTTTGTTTGTTTCACGCAGGTTTTCTGTGAGGCCGTGGTCATCGACATCTATCCGGTCGAGCCGACCCATTCGTGCCGAAGCATGGCTCTCCCACACTTAAATGATGATGGTTATTTGGATTGTTTTATCATTTTATTTGACGTTGTTTCTGCAGTCGCAAGTTTGGATATCAGAATATTTCAATTCATCAAACTCTAAGCGAATGACTGCGTGACCTGACTTCAAATTTTTTAATTTAAAAGGTTTAATAAAAATGGTTTACTTACTTTTTTATTGACGCTCTATCAAAATTAATAAATAGATATCTATCTACTTACTGGACATTAATCGAACGGTGATTCTTATGATTGTAGGTAAAGTGTCTCAGCTTGGATTCCCGGACCGAGTAACGGTAAAAGGCTCACTTTATTCACATAATATGGATATGTTCTACTCTGCGTGTAACGCAAAAAATACCTAAAAATACTATTTGTTTGATACCTATTATCCGCACTTAGTAAAGCCAAGTAAGGAGACTTTATTGTCTACGGTTATCACCAATCATATAGCATAGGTTATAAGAAATGAGTTTTTAATAGAGGTCCATTTAAAAAAAGAATTTTTATATGTCACTGAAATGTCAAACGATGCAAGATTTACCGCACCATTATACTGCGTGTGTACAAAGTGTTTACTTAACGCCATTTTTTCTTTGAAATTTTGAACTTGTATTTTTAATTTAATTATAAGGCAATATTTATTATGCACTTGCATAAATAACTATTACGAAAACATTTAACCGCATTATTTACCTAACTAGTTGTGACGGAATATTATTTTTTAACTAACGCTGAACAAATATGGATCCTTGTCGAGTCTATTTTATTATTTATTTTGGTATCTCTATTGAAATTTTACTGCAATCTAAGTGTACTACATTAATTTGCTTAATGTTAAAGCTGGCATTGAAGTTTGTCACTCAATGATGTCAAAACTGCTGAACCAATTTTGTAGAAGTTGGGCACGGAGATAGACCACGTTACTAGGATTAGTCTTGAATGGGTGTCTACAGAATTCGCCCATCATTAAAGGACCTTACTCATTTTTAAAACTTTAAAAGGTCGATGACCTATTTTGCGACTTCTTTGTCGTTTGCATATTTCATATAAAAGATTTAAGGAAAACGGATTATCTCCATTTGAAATTAGCACGATGATTATCGAGATGATTATCTTTAGAAACTTTTTACCCCTGCTCAGCTCCTACAGGTTATAGCATGATGTTTTATGGCCTATATAGCCTTCCTCGATTTTTAACTGGACTAACAAACACAAAAATAATTGTTGAATTCTAACCAGTACCTAGGTAGTTCTGGAGATTAGCACGTTTAAATAAACAAACAAACTCTTCAAACTATTACATATCAATAACATAGAAAAAGTGCTTTTTTCATATCTACCTACGTAAATATATGTATAATAATATAGGTAATGTATTGACACTTGCGTAATATTGAAATATCACAAACTAGTTTGACACTTAAGTAATAAAGTGTAATATTTAATTATTACGCACCAATTTATGTTAATCTGCGCGTGAGCATACATCCAGTCATCTATTGCAGCTTTTGATTTGAATTTGGAAGGAATTTTAACGGCTAACAACAGCTTTATGTTTCGAATATCGATTTGAATTATTATGTTTTTAGGTTGTGGTAAGAAGCGTGAGGTCTTAGGGTTTTTTTTATTGTTCCTCAAAATTTTCATTACGTTATCGAAGCTATTAGTAATATTTACTACACGTTTTATTTAAGCCTTAAGTTTTATTCCTAAGTAATTTGTACAATATTTTTTTTAACATCAATGTAGGTATTCTATTATCATAAGCTCATTCTAATATAACAACAATTGGCCCACGCATATGTACTTAGACATGGTACTACCTACCTTACAGCTTAACACTGCTTAATTCTTAGGAAAATTCACCTTTGAAACTCACAATGATTATCTCGGAATTACCAAACCAATCACTTGAAGAAGGAAACGACAGCATAATTAGATGTTAAGTACTTAGGACCAAAAGATATAAGGTCATCTAAAAAAAAATATTTCCATTGAATTGGACCTCACTGATTTGCGGATGTGGTTACTAAGTACATAAACACTAAGTCCAAATTACATATAAGAGCCTTAGAATTCGCGTTCAAGTCATCTTCAAAGCGCAAAAAACCCGCTACCTCCGCTACGTATTTAGGTACCTACCTGTAGCTTTTTATACCTATTTATTTATATATACATATGTATGTGTGTCCGTGTCTTCATGTGAATTCGTCTCAATAATTATCATCCTAAAATACTACACCGATATAAATACGTCAACAGTAAATAAAACAAAAGTTATAATACTTATCATACATACATAACCTTTAATGACTTTGAGGTTATATTTTCAAAGTTATTCAAGTTTGCATCTTTTTATTGTATTTCTATTGCCAATAAAACTTCATTTTGTCTTCTATGTATAACTATATACAATAGAAGAAGGAACAGAGATACAATATGAACTTTTAAAAAAAGAAACGGAACGCAATAAG